TGTTTGCGGACATCGCAAGGACAGCCTTCTTGATGCAGCTTTGGGACCTTAGCCGTGTGGCAACATACTTTGCTTTAAAAGACGAGAGCTTCGCTGAACGTCGTCGGATATTGAGTCGGATTGGTGTTCCCAGTAGACATCTAAAGTAAGTACTAATCGTTGTTCGCTTTATAGGATCACGTAACAGGTCACTAACGCCCAAAAAGGCCTTAGTCGCGGAAAATCGTCAATTCACACAAGTCGGCATCCAGAACAGGGGAAGAGGTAACCTACGACGTTATTGCTCCTGTTTTATGGCTGTTTATGTCATAATTACGCCTAATTGAAGTTCTTTCCTTGCGTGCCTGCACATCACTGCCTACTGGGACGCCATGCGTTCAACTTTGAATTAAAATAAACTAGAAATTTTTTAAAACATGCCTATGTCCCGGGCCTTTGTTATTAGGAAATTCAATAGCACTAGCTAACTCCTCGCTTCTTTAAAGTACACGTGCTGCCTATATTAACCCTTGGGTTTAGAACAAAATCAATGCTTGCCCACGGCTAAAATACGGGACAGGACGTAGGTCCATTCAGTACTTTCAGTCCATCAGTAGAAACCACTTTGTAGCACTAGGCTCGTATATTCTTGCTGCTTGGCTGTCGTGCCACTTTAGTAGCGTCTATCTATTTATTCTTTCGTCTTAAATAAAATAAAGTCACTATTCTGTTTTTCAAGGCTTGGTGACATGCACTGCAAAACCCACATATCAATTCCAACAAAGTAAGTGTATTCTTATAAAGCAGGCGCCATGACCAGTTTAGAAGTACTTTCACGAATTGGGTTTCGGGACAATCTCATTTCAATTCATTTTGTGGATCGACCTGGAGTCCCGCAAGCAATCGTAGAGCTTCTAGTATTACAAGCAGTTGCACATTACCCGTAAAGAAAAGGGAAACTCTGATGACTATTCATTGATTATTAGCCGTTTTCAGCCATTCCTATTCAACCACCGGGTTGGAAATATTTATACTTTAAAACGGCGCAGTTGTATCCGGTAACCACAAGTAGATATTCCTTGTCACGAAACACAAACATTTACTAACTACACTTAAGTAATACTTCTTTTTAAGTGGGTATTGATACAATAGGTGTGACCAATTATGAACCGAGTATCTGAATATGGAAATTTCAGAAAGCTCAATTCGGCTTTCGCACCCTACGACCTTGGTGCATTCGTTTGGGTGTGCCTATCTCTTGTAAACCACAACGCTTTTTACAAAAGCTTCCTATGCATTTTTATGAGGGATCATAGGTGAATGGTCACCCACACTTTTGATATTTGGTGCTTTCGTGAAGATAGCATTTTGAACATATTTGCTGATTTAAAATGTTTAATTGTGGGAAATACACTTTTCTGGAATTTCAGAGGCTTCATTGTTCAATAATAGTACAGTATCACGTAGAAATGGTCTCGGGCCTGACTACCTAATTTCATCCCATGAATTGGACGTGCTTCGAACTGAGGTCGAGGTGCATTGCATTCGTTATGCCTGCATGCTAAACTTAGTTTGTGACCTAGCCAACCTGCTTGAGAATTCAAAAAACTACCCAAATGTAAAAAGAAGTACTCCTTGGACATCGGATTTGAGGCCAACTGTTCACAAGGCGAGACATGAGGAAGAAGAGTGTTTGGCGAAAAACAGGCAAGTTATTTCCGTTTCCCTTTATTTTGACGAGTGAGTGAGATTGTTTGCACTTTTTCAGTTATTTACTCTAGCATCCTAGTGGGAACTTACAACTACATTCGCTTTGGGTGATCTGTTTTGGGTCAAGAGTGTTCAGTGTTTAAATCTGTACACCACACCAAGATACTATGTGGCCCTTGTTTAGTCTCTGATTTTCTTACGTTTGCTGACTTCCATTATTTTCCAAACATATAAAGCACGACAACTTTATCTTTTAAAGCGATTGGATGAGAGGTGTTTGTGCACAATCAATCAAAAGTATCGAATCTGCAAGTGAAATCGCGACTCATCTCGGAACCCCACATCTGCCAAATGTGTGGATCTGGTATTGGAACGACATAGACACGCTAAGACGGTTTTGCGACCAGCAAACCATATTTTCTTCCCTTCAGGTAATTTTTATAGACTGACTTGTTTTACGATGCGCTCTGAAAACGTCCAAAATTGACCAATACCAGGGAACGCACAGTTTCTGGAAAAGGAAGCTCACAAGAATCACTCAAAATTAACGACGCATAAAAATGATCTAACTGGTCTAACATTCACTAATCCTTTCTTAATGTTTAAGTTCTTCTTGTCATTGAATTATCTGATACTTTCTTGCGTAATACTCAGAGCTACCACACAATAAATTAGCCTGCTGGATAATGTGTTAGCAATTTTCGCTTTATTAAGCAACTTTCTTCCTTACGCTCTTCCATATATCATAACTAGTGAATGGGTTTTAATAGGTGAATAAATTAGTTGAAATTGTGCAGTTGGTTTAGTTGTCTTCATAAACGCTTTCCTTTAATCATTTGTAAATTATGAAAAGGATGCCATTACTCGTCTGCCTGCCCATGCGCCAATTGCGAATGTCATTGAACAACACAAATGCTTGATTATATGGATGGAGCAGTTCTTTTGAAACCCTTTGATCATTTGGCCGTTCAAAAACATGGTTTTAATAATTCTGTCTTATTCTATCTTCCTTGTTTTTAGAGCGGCTTGGAGGCCAATCTTGCTCCTAGGCGAGGCTGCATGCTTCCCCTTCAACTGATAATTGATATGACTAATCTCCTCGCCGAAACAACCCTCATAAAGTGTTATCCAAGTGCAGAAATGCAGGTGCAGAAACCACAAGCAAGCACAAGAAAAAAGACCACCGGGGCGGTGGATGTGGTGAGTAACAATATCTTCGTCAAGCGCAAATAAGCTGCTAAATTTGAGGTGATTCGATTAAGCTGTTTTACCAGTTGAAACTGCATATTTGAACTCACATATGTATTCGTTCCTGTTATTTGACCAGCTAGTGGAAGTTCAGATATTGTTGACTATGAAGACTTATAACTAAGACTGGAGTTTACAATAACTTAACCTACCAAAATAAGAACTAACCTAAAATTAAACTGAGACTAATAAAACTTGATAACCAACTAAAAGCTAAACCGAGTCAAGATAAAACTAAACTAAAAACCAAAATTAATGTAAATAAATAGTTAACAAATGAACGAATAGCTAAATTAAACGAAATAAGAAACTACACCGAAACAAGTAATTCGTTTTGTTAAAGTCACCTACGGCGTTACTTATAAGGACACTTACCAAAAATACTTATTCAGTAATTTTTAATTTATAAAATGGAATGAAAAGCGAAAATTCCTGCAACTACTTGAAAAAAGACAAACAAGCTCAGTCAGACCTATAATCGAAAAATTCCGTTCCCCAGATTCGTTATCCTGTTAAAGGTGTAAAACCCAAGGCAAAGAAAAGAGCTTTTGCACAGTGCACAGTTAGACGCATCTTAAAGTCCATGTAGGAGGTGGTGCAAGTCATAACTGGGATCCAAACAAGAGGTTGGTTAATATGCTAATATTAGATTTCAGTGTATGGCAAACAATTGTTTTCAGCAACTCTTCATCAGACCAAACGTT